CAGCAGGCCCCAGAGCACAAGACACTTTGCTAGCTAACTGTGATCCACAGCCACTGGCTTTGTTTGCCTAGATTTGCACTTGAGCTCTCTCTTGGTTAGGATTTTTTTAAAGAATTATTTATTTAATTTTATTTATCCATTTTATTTTAATTTGATCAGAGAGACACAGAGAAAGAGAGAGAAAGTGAGAAAGCAAGCCACCAGGTTGGGGACTTGAACCGTAGTCAGCCATGTGGGAGTGTCCAGCCTGTTCACCGTGCCACCTGCTGGTTCCTCTCCCGGTTAGGTCTTTATTACTCCCCGTTTGTCTCTCAAATGTCTTTCATGGCTGACAGACTCCCTGAGAAGTGTGCTTTGGGCTGAGATGTGGCTTTAGAGAGCTCCTGGAGATTTCTCTCTCCTTGACTTGGTTCCGAAGGTCCTGGGTAGAAGTGAGGCAAGTCCTTCTCCCAAACAGCTTGCCATTCCTCCCACCTCAGGACCTTCTCCAAGTAGTTTCCCCCACCCTTTACTTTTCTTGGGGGAGGGCATTACCTTAAAATGCCATTTGTCTCAGGGAGAGACCCATTATGACTTCAATCAGCCATGTGTACTGGTGTGAGTGCGTTTCTGTCCTCTTCACGTGAGCTTTCCGGTTCTCTGGACTGGAAGAAAGCTGGGTTGGTGATCTGCATCCTGGGAGTTCCTTTGAGCTTCCAGGTTCTCCCAGCAGCACTGACCTGGGTAGGGAGCGGGCAGGGCAGGTTTACTGCTGGCAGCGGGAGACCTCCCTGGCAGCTTTCTCCAAGGCCAGCCTGGGATACACATACCAGACTTTGAAAACTCGAGGCAGCTCAGCTGAAGGGAAGGGGCCCAGGTTCGGAGCCCAGGGTCCGAGGTTCTGGGACCCGAGGCCAGTCACTTAAGCTTGCTGAGCTGTAGGTTCTTCATCTGTAATGGATCCTAGATAGCTGTGACAATCAGATGGAAAGACTTTGAAAATCAGAAGTGTCGAGGGCCCGGTGCCTTTCACTCTTGGCCTTCTGTCTCTTGCTCACAGCGGTCCCAGTTTCCAGTGCTGCACATGGAGCTGATCGTGCACCTGCTGCTCCAGGTCTCCGACGCCCTGAGGTTCCTGCATTCTCGGGGCTTCGTCCACCGCTCCCTGAGCTCCTACGCAGTGCACATTGTCTCCATGGGGGAAGCCAGGCTGACCAACCTGGAGTACATGATGGAAAGGTGGGCACATCGAGCTGAGTGTGCCTCCTCCTGGAAGGAAGGGTCTCCCGGTGGTCGCTGCTGTAGAGACAGACTCTGATTCGGGCAGGACTCCTCATGGTGGACTGACCTATTGTTCATTAGAGGAGGACAGGGATTTGCAAATGCCTTACTGTGTCTGTGATGGCTAGAGGAGGACTTTTGAGGAAGTGCCTCAGGACATTCTTTTTTTTTTTTTTTTGGCTCTAGGGCATGTGTGTCTGGGGGGGGTGGTAGAGAGAGAGAGAGAGAGGAGGAAAGTGAGAAAGCACACTCCAAGGAACCATGTTATAGTTCCTTCTCATTCTCCTCTTGAGATTTTGGGCATGTAGGCACATGTGCCCATTGTGTTTTTCAAGCTGTCAGGTCTAGGACTTGAACCACATAGTCGGTCATGTGAGATCCAGCCGCCTTAACTACCATACCACCTGGCTGGCCCAGGAGAGTCTCATTTTAACAAACATTTAAAAAGGAATGCCATATTGGCCAATGTATAGAAATTCTCTATCTAATCCAAAATTTTCACCAGCCTGACACCGTAAGACATGTTTCTTACTCACACTGTAATCTAGCATGTGGGCTAGATGGGGCACTGTGTTCTGTGTCCCTCCGTCCGCCACCACCAGGCCTCAGCCCCACTGCTTTCTTTCCCTTGCTGGTCAGTGAGCAGGGTGGGACTTGCCGAGGCCAGAGCCTAAAACCTTACTGCTAGGAGGCTAGGAGACCTTTGCTGTGCACCCTGGAGGACAGAGGAGGTGGTGGGGGTGTTGCTAGCCTCATGGTTTGTCACACCTTCTATGTTGGGGCCAGGCACTGGGTTGGGAGGAACTAAGGGCATTCCCTGCCCTTGAGGAGCTTGGTGCAGTGGCTGGGCTGAACTCGGAGTTTTCCTGAGAGTTGGAGGCTGACTGCTCCTCCCACCACAAGCTATGGAAGGCAGAGATGCCCCTCCCTGCTGCCGCCACAGCGCTGAGCCTTTTTTTTTTTCTTTTTTTTTTTTTTTGAGAGGTTTTTGCTATAGGGCGCATGCGCTCACCAGGCCAGACAGACAGACAGACCACAATCCCTTCACCTCCATTCTCCTCTCGGGATCTTGGGCATGCACGTACACGTGCAGTGTGAGGTTAAGCCACCGGGTCCGGGAACCAAACCGCAGTTGACTACGTGGGAGTCCAGTGACATAGCCATTACGCTAACTGCTGGTCCCAGTGCTGAGCCTTTAATCCAGGGTGGGTTCTGCTCTGCTGTGAGGCCCAGCTACTGGCAGATCCCTGGCTTAGATCTGCCTACTTCCCCTCCCCTTGTCCTCTACCCACCCCTCACCGAAGCCTTTTTTTGAGTCTCTTTCCAGGTCTTTGCTTTCCACGTCCTCTGTAGTCTTCCCTCACTAGGTGGAAAGCTCCACAGAGCTGGGGTTTGTGTCTTCTTTACTGCTGTATCTCACATGGCTAGAACAGGCCTTCACAACAGAAGGTGCTCAGCATATATTTTTAAAAAACAATTATGTGTTTAATTCTATTTATCATTGTTATTATTTTTAATTTGCTATTGGGCACCTGTGCTCACCAGAAAGAGACAGACAGACAGAGGGAAAGTGAGAAAGCAAGCTGCCAGATCTGGGACTTGAACCACAGTTGGCCATGTGGGAGTCCAGCTCCCCAACCACCATGTCACCTGTTGGCCCCAGCATGTGTTTTTCAAACAAAGGAAACTAAATCACTCTTACCTCCTCAGACCTTTTGTTGCTCTGCCTGGAGAGGAGGGCAGGGCCCAGATCATGCTTGGCCTTATGGGCCTTGGTGAGGAATTTGAATTTTATCATAAGATCATTGGGATGTTCTGGAAGGGTTATTTTTTGTTTATTTATTTTAAGCATTATGGAGCCATGGGTGATTTTTAGGTTAAGAATATCTCCCTCAGGACCAGCAGGTGGTGTGGTGGTATAAGAGCTGGGCACTCCCACATGGCTGACCACGGTTCAAGTCCCGGACCTGGTGGCCTGCTTTCTCACTTTCTCTCTCCCCGTCTCTCTCTCTTTCTCTGTATCTCTCTCTAGTCAAATTAAAATAAAGTGAATGAATAAAATAAATTAAATAAAAATAATTCTTAAAATAAAAATAAAAAAAAAAAGAATATCCCCCTCACTCCTGTGCGTGGAAAAAGGCCTACGATGGGGCGAAAAGGAGGCTGGGGAACAGAGAGCGTGTGACTGGAACTGCGGCGGTTTTCTCTGTGGGAATGGGCAGAGGCTAGACCACGGTGACCTGCGGAATGCTCTCACACAGTCCATTCTCAATCCCAGCTAAAACCTTTCAGGGGCTCCTCACTGCCTACAAGATTAAGTCCAGGTCCCCAAGTCGTCTTAAGTGGAGCTCCACCCACAATGCCAACGTTATTGCTCGCACTTCTCCTGGCCATTTTTTTCTTTGCTAAACAATTATTTATTTAAATTTGATTTCTTCTTCAGTTTTACCAGAAAGAGACAAGACTTGAACTGTGGTTGGCCATGTGGGAGTCCAGAACCCCAACCACCATGTCACCTGCCAGCTCTTCTGGCCATTTAAGCCACTTTTTTTTTTTTTTTAAAGAATTGTTTTATTGGGACCAGCAGTTAGCGTAATGACTATGTTGCTGGACTCCCACATAGTTGACCGCGGTTCAAGTCCTGGACCCGGTGGCTTAAACTCACACCGGGCACGTGTGCGTGCGTGCCCAAGATCCTGAGAGGAGAATGAAGAAGGGATTACGGTGTGGCCATCTCCCCTGGGGGGTGATTTCTCGCTTTCTATCTCTCTGTCTCTGTCTGTCTGGCAAGCGCATGTGCCCTATAGCAAAAACCTCTCAAAAAAAAAAAAAAAGAATTGTTTTATTTAACTTTATTTATTTATTTATTTATTTATTTAAATGTGACCAGAGAGGGACAGAGTGTGAGAGAGATGAAGTGAGAAAGCAAGCTGCCAGGTCGGGGACTTCAAGTCCGTGGTCGTCCATGTGGGAGTCTAGCACCCTCAACCACATGCCACCTGCCAGCCCCCATTTAAGCCACTTTGAGTTCATGCCATTACAGAGTACTGCTCTGCTTCTGGATTACCTCTCACATTCTCCCCTCTCTTTTTTTTAAAGTTTGCTTTAGCGTGCACTAAATGTTTAATGATTGGCTGAAGGGAAAACTTGAAATGGTTCAGAGCAGAGTTGGCTCTGCACTGGAAACTAAGGTGTTGGACATTGTTTTTGCTGTTGCTACCACCAGGGGCTTTTCAGGGAGTCTGAGCAAATCTCAACTATTTGTCAGTGGTGGAGCGCCCTCTGCTGCTGAGAGGAAGCCATAACTGTTGCTTCGGCCCTTGGGTTGAATGGATTCCTAGAGTGAAATGGAGCTTTGGCGAGGGACCAGCCCAACCTTGTTCTTGTTTTTCCTTCTTACACCAATTTATACATTTTTAATTGGTTGCATATATTAACATTACTATAAGATTATTTTCTAGGACTGGCAGGTGGCGTGGTGGCTAAGGGCGCTGGACTCCCACATGGCCGACCACGGTTTGAGTCCCGGACCTGGAGACTTGCTTTCTCACTTTCCTTCTCTCTCTCTCTCTCACTCTCACTCTTGCTCTTACTCTGTCCCTTTCTGGTCAAACTAAAATAAATAAAATAATTCTTAAGATTCTTTTCTAGGAGCATTATTGGTGTACCATTCTTTGAAAGCTGATACCATGTGTCAATTATTCAAGTATCCAAAATAGCTTTCAGTTCTGTATTTGGACACGTTGGTTTGTTGAACATCATTGTCAAGGGTGGCACTGGTGTAAAAGCAATACGTCAGTTTCTCCTACTCAGTCCTTAATGGGGCCATTGGAGCTGGAATTGCTGTTCCAGTGGTGTCACAGCACCATAGCCAAATGTAATTTTAAGGATGTCAAAGATGAAGCCTGGAGAAATGTAAAAGGGGATGGCCAGAAAATAAAGGCTCCCATCCCATCTAGCTTTAATAGAGGAAAAATACGGGATTATAGAAGAAGAAGGTGACAGGAAGTAAAGAGGATTATTTATTGATTGATTTATAGTTTATGCTATAGGGCACGTGTGCTCTCTCTTAAGACAGAGAGACAGAAAGCAAGAAATCACCCCTCAGGGGGGATGGCCACACTGTAATCCCTTCGCCTCCATTCTCCTCTCGGAATCTTGGGCACACATACACATGAGCCTGGTGTGAGTTTAAGCCACTGGGTCTGGGACTCGAACCATGGTCGACTACATGGGAGTTGAGCAACACAGCCATTATGCCATCTGCTGGTCCCAGGAGGTGACTTTCAAATGAGTGCGTCAGAAGAAGCACCCTGTGGTGCTAGGATCTCTAGGCCAAGCATGCCATGAATAAAAGGCTGCAGGTCCAAAGCCTCAAAGTGACAATACACTTGGCATGATGAAGTAACTCCTGAAGGCCCTGTGACTTCAGTGAGTTGGGGAAGCAGGGAGACTGGCACTGGATGGGGAGACAGTGCAGGTGGGTTGGAGCAGTAAGGAGCCGAGGTGTAGAACAGCTCTGAAGCTCTGAGGCAGGGTGGTTTAGTTCTGTGTCTGCCTAGATTTCCAGAAGCTCCATGAGGTTGCCAGTCTTCAGAAGTGAATATTTCACAAATGCACTGTGTGGTGATCAAGATGACCTTTAAAACATAAGCCTTGCATTGTATGTTTCCTTCTGTAGCCGTGACAGAGGTGTGCACAGGGACCTAACTCGAGTACCGCTCCCCAGCCAGCTGTACAACTGGGCTGCACCAGAGGTGATCTTACAGAAGGCAGCCACAACCAAGTCAGACATCTACAGCTTCTCTATGATCATCCAGGAGATTTTGACAGGTAATGGCTGGCCAAAGCCCCTACTCCTAGGTTGGATTTTTTTTCCCACCAGGAATTACTTAGTTTTTTGAAAAGGGAAGACTTAAAATAGATTTCTTCAAGGAAACCACTTTGTGCTATGGAAGATCTAAGATGATCTCTCAGAAGCCTTTTTTTAGCTGCCCTTTAATATTTAGCAAAGGCCACCATTTGCTTGTCAGTGATAATGCATAACCTATGCAAAGTTTGTTTGTTTGTTTTCTGAGAGATTTTTGCTAAAGCACACATGTGTTCAGCTAGAGAAACACAGAGAGGCAGAAAGTGAGAAATCACCCACCCCACCCCACCCCAAAGCTGGATGGCCATGTTGCAATCCCTTTTCCATTCTCCTCTTGGGATTTTTGGCATATAAGCACACATGCTCAAAATGAATTTTAGGCTGCTGGGTTCAGGACTCGAACCATAGTTGACCATGTGTTAGTCCAGCGCTCTAGCCACTGCACCACCTGCTGACCCGTTACGCAAAGTTTTTAAACTGAATTTTGGTATCAATGTTTAGGGACCTCTGTGAGGTGTCCCTTAAGGACTCGTAAACGAGGGGAAAAGACTGGCCTTTGAGAAGTGAACTATGCAATTAAACACACCCAGGGACCAGTAGATGCACAAATGATGTCACTTGAAAGAAATAGAAGGGGACCAGCAGGTGGTGTGGTGGTTAAGGAGCTTGACATTCCCAATGGCTGACCACGGTTCAAGTCCCAGACCTGGTGGCTTGCTTTCCCACTTCTCTCTCTCTCTCTCTCCCCCTCCCTAGTCAAATTGAAATGAATGAATGAATAAATTTTTAGAAAATGAATAATTTTCAAAAATTGTAAAAAGAAAGAAATAGAAGCCCCCTTTCAAACCTACAGAACTCTAATGTGAAAGAAATAGTCACATCTCTGAAACTAGAAAGAGTCCTTCAAGAGAGGAAGACACAGCCATGCAAACACACTCATATGCACAGTGAGGGTAGGTCAGTCAGCACTGTTTCATGTATCTGCAGTCCCTTCACAAAGAGAGAAGTTGTCCCCCAGAGGGTGGCCACACCACAATCCCTTCTCCATTCTCCTCTTGGGATTTTGCACACATACCTCTCTGGTGTGAGTTTCAAGCTGCCAGGTCAGAGACCCAAACCATAGTCGGCCATGTGGGAGTTCAGCACCTTAATCACCAGGCCACTTGCTAGTCCCCACCTTATTTCTTTTCCTTCCTTCCTTCCTTTCTTTTCTTTTTTTTTTTTTTTTTTTTTTTTGAGAGATTTTTGCTATAGAGCATATGCACTCACTGGAGACACAGAGAAAGAGAAACAGAAAGCGATAAATCACCCCCTGGGGTGATGGCCATGCTGCAATCCCTTCTCCATTCTCCTCTTCAGACCTTGGGCACGCACCCACAAGCGCCTGGTTTGAGTTTAGGGCTCTGGGACTCAAACTAGAGTTGACTATGTGGGAGTCCATTGACATAACCATTTTGCCATCTATTGGTCCCCCCACCTGATTTTTTTTTTGAGAGGCTTTTTTGCTATAGGGCACATGCGCTTGCCAGACAGATAGAGAGAGACATAGAGACAGGAAGTGAGAAATCACCCCCCAGGGGGGATGGTCACGCCGCAATCCCTTCTCCTCCATTCTCCTCTCGGGATCTTGGGCATGCACGCACACGCGCCCGGCGTGAGTTTTAAGCCACCGGGTCCGGGACGCGAACCGCGGTCGACTACGTGGGAGTCCAGCGACATAGCCATTACGCTAACTACTGGTTCCCCTCACCTGATTTCTTAATGTTATTCTTTTCTGTCACTTTTTTTCTTACAGATAACATACCCTGGAATGGCTTAGATGGCTCAGTTATTAAAGAAGCCATAGTCTTGGGAAATTATTTAGAAGCTGATGTCAGGCTTCCGAAACCTTACTATGATATTGTTAAGTCAGGCATCCAGGTCAAGCAGAAAGATCGAACTATGAACCTTCAAGATATCCTGTATATTCTGAAGAATGACTTAAAGGCAAGCTCCAAAGTTGTTGAAAGTCTATTTCTGTTATTTGTTTATTTGTATGTATGTATGTATGTACTTATAAAAATTTGACCAGAGAAAGGGAAAGTCAGAAAGCAAGCCACCAGCTCTGGAATTCAAACTGTGGTCAGCCATGTGGGAGTCCAGCACCTTAATCACCACTCCTCCTGCTTGCCCTAAAAGCTTATTTCTATTTAACCATCTCAGGGAAGTAGAGAGTTAAACACCAAGAAGGGGCTAGAGACCAAGCTGTGAGGAGTTTTAAAAATCCTCATGTTAATTAAAAATGAATAAATAAAGTTAATTGAAATAATTCTTTTAAAAAAAATCCTCATGTTATTACACCCATTCTTGGTTCCTGAGAAAAGCCTAACTGCTTAAGTTGCTGAGGGAATGGAGGAGGGAAGCTGGGTAGGTTAAACACGTAGCAGAGATACATCATATATATTTAATGGTTATTGCTCTAAAGGTATTTTTTTTTTTGAGAGGTTTTCGCTATAGGGCGCGTGCGCTCGCCAGACAGACAGAGAGAGACATAGAGACAGAAAGCGAGAAATCACCCCCCAGGGGGGATGGTCATGCCGCAATCCCTTCTCCTCCATTCTCCTCTTGGGATCTTGGGCACGCACACACATGCGCCCGGCTTGAGTTTTAAGCCACCGGGTCCAGGACGCGAACCGCTGTCGACTACGTGGGAGTCCAGCGACATAGCCATTACGCTAACTGCTGGCTCCCTAAAGGTATTTCTAATAACAGTAAATTAACTCACTAGGACCACAGTCTACCCAGCAAGGAGTAAGGGGGAGTTTATCTGACACCTAGGTCAGTTTCTGTAACACCAGTGACATTTGGATGACTATGAATATGTCTTTGACAATATTTCCTGCTACAGGATATTTTTTAAAGAACTATTAAATTTAATTAATTAATTAATTAAAATTTGACCAGAGAGTGGGACCAGCAGTTAGCATAATGGCTATCTTGCTGGACTCCCATGCAGTCGACCACGGTTCGAGTCTCGGACCCGGTGACTTAAACTCATGCCGGGCGTGTGTGCGTGCGTGCCCAAGATCCCGAGAGGAGAATGGAGGAG